ACATGATCTGTTTTCTTTTGATGATCGTAAGGTCTGGGTTTTTTCTTTTGTTTTGTGGTTTGTTTGTTCTTTGGTGTTTTGTTTTTTAAATGGAACAAGTATATTCTCCTGTGTCTGCTCTATTCAAAGATAATTAGTATTTTATCATCTACATTCTTTCCCCACCTGCCATGTCATGGAGGAGCAGAGGTCTACTTGAAAAAAACAATCATCCTGATAGTAAGGTAACTTCAGAAGTGGGTTTTTGAATATAAAAATGTTGCAACACTTTTAATGTAGCTATTGCTGTCCTGCTTATACTGTCTATAGAGAGAACGTGATGTGCTATACATATTTTAATTACAAGTGAGTTCTGTAACTCCTTTGTTGTTTGTATTTAATTTTAAAAAAAAATCGTGCCAATAACTGATGATGTCAACATGTGCCTGTGCTGTTTTGCATTTCCCCTCTTTGTTCCTTGGTTTGGATTGCAGTGATTGTGGATTTATTTAGTTTTGTTTTCTTCTCATGGTAGTGAGCCATTTCTATTCTTTCTGTAAAGGGCCCACTGCTTATGTATTACAATGGTGCATGTTTCCACAATGTCTCTTGGGCTGACTTCTTAGTGGTAAGTGAGAACCTATAAAATTCCACTCTTAGTTTGAGGGAAATTAATACTAATTTCTGGTGTTCTTCCAAGTTGCAGAGGACAGTTTAAAATATGACCCTGTCCACTTGAAACACTGGATTCTGCTTGCCAAAATCCCATTATAAAGTTTCATGATATTTAAACTACTTTCTTGGTATGCTGTTGACAGTGCCAAAAGATATTTGTTAAAATGTAAGCTTATTTTATTACTAACCATTGACAAGATTTAATAACCCTTTTCTGGAATTCCTAGCGGTGGGATTCTACAGCAAAACAATAAAAGCTCTCTGGGCATTGTGAGGCATCTTACATCATTAAATTACCCTTTGTAGTGTTTAACCTGAAGGTGAAAAAAGGACATTTAAGTATTTTATCAAGCGCCTAACTAGCTTAAAGAGCTATAGCCAGTTAGAAAATTTATTTAGCTTTCACGGTTTGTAGCAGATTCAAATTTATTTGCAATATTCAGCAAAAATACTTCAGTGGGTTAGATGCAACAATTTTTTAAAAAAATAAAGTCCTGATTATTAAAACCGGTTCTGGTTATGTAGCGGAAGAGCTGTGTTTAGTTTTGGGGGGCTTACATAATTTTGCCATGCCTTGCAAATTTTCAGTTTGGTTGCAGTTAAGATTTGTGTTGACCATGAATACCATAAAGAGTATCTGCAGCTGAACTGTAGCTAATATCAGTGTTTGACAATCAGTATTACTTTAAACTAGATGTAAAACAAACAATGCATTTCCAATTATAATCCTATTTTACATTGGTATGCTCATCACATCAACACGCTTTTGTGGAAAAATCATTTACTTCAATCATTACAGTAGTCAGAGGCTGAAGTATTTGACATTTCTCTGGTTTTTACTTGTGATGAATGTTTGCTGTTAGTAGTAAATGGTCACACACACTCAAGTGTCCATGTGCACAAGTGCACACACTGAAACAAAACCCCCTGACTCCTGCCTTTCCATTACAATGCTGATATTTCCTGGTATAAAAATAACAGGACTCTTGTACTGCCCAGTTGGAAGGACTTTCCGCTACTTCTAAGGACATTTCAGAGTGTTTCAAGTTTAATCACCTTTTCCATCAGATCTTGGCTGGACTATTGTACATTCTGTCTAAGATTGCTCGTTACTCATTTATACTGAAGACTGTATGCTAAGCAAACTGAAACTTTCTGCGTGTTGCTTTCATGTCATGTTATCCACCCATAATTCATACCAAAGACATTTTTTTTAAGTAATGTGCCTCTTTACTGCAGATGAGGAAGACATATCCATGGAATGATACTTAATGCATCAAGTAATTTTAGTAATTTTTCACTTCATTGTAGGATTTTTTTCCTTTTGAATTACAAGTGTGTCTAGCTGTCAGTGTTGACCTCTGTTTGTTATACGTTATGGAATGAAAGATTAATCTGAATTATTTCCCCAAAAGGGATTTTTTCTGATGTCACATGGCACTTGGCCACCTAAGGGGACCCAAGTTTGCAGATATAGACACTTAGGAAGTATTACTTTTCACAAGTACCTGGCACCAAAGCTGGCTTTGCAGCTACAATTACATGAAGCTCTCTTAGACACACGTGAAGTTTTAGCATGCACGGAAAGCCCAGGTCAAACCCAGTCAAAATGCTTTAATGGGTATCTGCATGTCAGTGCCCTTTCTTTTATCTAGAAAAGGATATCTGTTTCTGTGACTAGTGAACAGAAGGAAGAATTAAGCATCATCCAAATTATTCTGCACACCTTTCACCAGAAAAGAATGAAAATATGGAGAGAAGTTACTGCCAGGACACAGGGTCCCTAATCTCTTGCCTCATATACTGTACCTAAATAAAGTATAAGACAGGCAAAGGTCTTCCTACATTGGTCTAGATCAGCATAAATATTTGATGTAATAGCTACAGAGCAGAAAAATTTATTCAATAGATATTACCTGTCTTGCTAACATAGTTATGCTGTGTAAAATTAAGGTAAAAAGACAATACAGATTATATTATATTGATAAAGAATCTGCAAGAAATACTATCAGGAATGTTTATACCATGATGCATTTTAAACTGCTTTATCTTGATTAATAATTTAAAGTGTAGCAATAATTACAACAGCTATGCTTAAAGCTTTTAGCCACTATTATTAAAAAAAAAACAAACAAACTTTTAAAATCTTAAGACTTGGCACTTGGTTTTGTGTAACAGAGTACTTGTAAAAATCAAAGATAATTCCAGTCATGGAGAATTTGCCCAGGCATTAGGACTGCATTGTAGGTAGTATATTCACAACATCTTGGAGACAAATATTTAAACATAATTTGAACTGATCGAGGAGAAATTGCCTTTGAGGCGTTAGGCTCCATGTTCCCATAGTTTTGCAGCCCATAATAACTTAAATGAACCTATAACTACAGAAGTCCTGTTTTCTGATTAATCTGTGTCTCGTTTTGAATGGCTAGGTTAACAGGTCTATCAGTATTCAGATTTTCTAGTTCAGACTCAAGAATTCACTACCCTGGATCCAAATCAAATCTATATAGAATCTTAAAGTTATTTTGTTTGGATGTGACCTTTGAGATCATTTAGTCCAGCCATTATGCAGTGTTACTATTTGTGACTCTTCCACTCTTCAATAAGAGGTCGGGGAGAAACCTGATTTCATTTTTTAAAGAGGATGTGAGTTAATATCTAGATGATAGCTAACAATGTATTGGAAAAATTTCTGGGAAACTGAATTTACAGTAACCAATTTGTTACATTCCATATACTAAATAATTTATTTCAATGTTAAATATATTTTAGAACAATACTTTTCCAAGACCACTAAAGTTATTAGCAGACATCATTGTATACCAGTTGAACTGTTACAGAAGAGAACACTGCCAGTCATAAAATGGCTTGGGTTAGAAGGGACCTTAAAGATCTAGTCCAATGCCCCTGCCATGTGCAGGGACAACTTCCACCAGATCAGGTTGCTCAAAGTCTCATCCAACCTGACCTTCAACCGTTCCAGGGATGAGCCATCCACAGGTTCCTTGGGCAACCTGTTCCAGTGCCTCACCACCCTCATAATAAAAAAATTCTTCCTTATGTCCAAGCTAGATCTTCTCACTTTCAGTTGGAAAGCATTGCCCCTTGTCCTTTCACTACAGGTCCAGGTAAAAAAAGTCTTTCTCTCTCTTATATGCACCCCTTTAAGTATTAAAAGTCCATGATAAGGTCTCCTAGGATCATGGTCTCCTCCAGGCTGAGCAACTCATAACTCTCTCAGCTTTTCATGGGAGAGGTGTTCCAGTGAGCTGATCATTTTTGTGTTCCTCCTCTCAACCTGTTCCAACAGGTCCATTTCTTTCTTGTAATGGGGAGCCCAGAGCTGGATACAGTACTACAGGTGGAGTCTTAGGAGAGCAGTGTAGAGGAGGAGCATCATCTCCCACTACCTGCTGACCACGCTTCTTTTGATGCAGCCCAGGATACAGTTGGCCTTCTTGGCCGCAGGGGCACAATACCAGCTCGTCTCTAATTTTTCATCCACCAGTATCCCCAAGTCCTTTCCACAGGGCTGGTGTAATCCATTCATCCCTCAGTCTGTATTGATGTTGACAATTGCTCTGACCCATATGTGGGACCTTGCGCTTTGCCTTGTTGAACTTATGAGGTTTGCATGGGCTCAGTCTTCATGCCTGTCAAGGTCCCACTGGGTGGCATCTCTTCCCTCAAATGAATCAACTGTACAGCTTGCTGCAGAATGATAGCTTCTTTGTAACCCTTAGAAGCAAAACTTGTGTTTATCTGTGCAATACTTCTTAGACTTAATGCAGAGAACAAATAAAAAATATTTCTTTCCATAGGGTAGTACCTTGGCTGAATCTTGCTGAGGCAGGCATTAAGCAGAAGATGGCTTGTAGGAGTTTGATGCCTGCTTGTTGACTGTTTATGCTAGGTCAGTCTTTGGATTGTCCTGAAGCAAGCCAAACCAACAAACCAAAAGTATTTGTGCAAAGGAAATTGCCTAGAATTTTAGAAACACTACTACTGTAGTAAACTGGTGTTAAAATTTAGTGAGTTTTAAAATAGTATATTTAGAGCTCCTTCTCACCTTTGTCAAGGTTATCTTTTAACAAGAAAAATCACATCTGAGTGACAGTAAGCAAGACTAAAGCAAGACTTGGTTACAAGATTCAGTACCAGTTATTTGACTTTAAAAATTAAATGCATTCAAGGATTAAAACTGTCTGTTTTCTCCTAGGTTCCTTTCTGGTGCTTAGTCTTAGTGATGGGAAATGTATAATAAAGAAAGGGGAGAGTATGTACTGCGTGCCAATAGCAATCCTTTCTCACAATAGTGTAATCATTTAATTGATCAGGAAGAGTGCTCAGATGATCAGAGAAGTGGAAATGGATAAAGTGACAGTGCTGGAAAGAAAACAATTTGAAGCAATCAGGAAGCTCTGGGAAGACCCAGGAATTCAAGAATGCTGTGACAGACGAGGGCAGTTCCAGCTCTCAGACTCCGCTAAGTAATAAGTACGCTATGTAATTACAAGGACAAGACAGACTTAATGAAGTTAATCATAGAATCACTTAGGTTGGAAAAGAAATTTATGATCGCTGAGCACAACTGTTAATCTAACGAAGTCCACCACTAGACTATATCCCTAAGTGCCACGTCTACATGTCTTCCCAATGCCTACAGGCAAAGTAACTCAATCCTTCCCTGGGCTGCGTGTTCCAGTGATTCACGACCCTTTGACTGGATAAATTTTTCCTAATATCAAACCTAAATCTCCCCTGATGCAACCTGAGGCCATTTCCTCTTGTTTAATCACTTCTTACTTGGGAAAAGAGATTGACTGACACCCACCTCACTACAACCTTCTTTCAGGCAGTTGTAAAGAGCAATAAGGTCTCCCCCAGCCTTCTTTTCTCTAAGCTAAATAACTAAATAACCCCAGTTCCCTCAGCCTCTCCTAATAGGACTTGTTCTCAAGACCTTTCATCAGCTTTGTTGCCCCTCTTTGGACATACTCCAGCACCTCAATGTCCTTCTTGTAGTCAGGGGCCCAAAACTGAACCCGGTATTTGAGGTGTAGCCTCACCAACACCGAGTACAAGGGGACAATCACTTCCCTACTCCTGCTGGACACACTGTCTTAGATAAGCCAGGATGCTGTTGGCCTTTTTGGCCACCTGAGCACACTGCTGGCTCATAATGAAGAGATAGGTTCACCCTTATTTTGATAATTGTACCTGTGTCTCTGTTGGCCTGTGGTGCACAACAAATTCTAAGATGGAATGGGGAATCAAACTTACTTTAGGCTTTCTGAACATACTGGAACCATCCTCCCTCCCAGTTCTGAGGTCAACACAGCTGGTACATGACTGAGTTTCCCTTGGGGGAGATTATGAAAACCAGCTGTACAGAATATATTGACAACAAGAGGGCAGGTCAGAGAATTCAGTTATGTGAAAAGTTTGGGATATAAACAAGAATGAATATGTCTCTCCCCCAATTTTCAAATAATTTAATTGTGAAAAAAGTATTGTTTCATGAGAACAGAAAATTATGTTTCATTTCTGCGAAGGCTGAGAAGTGATAGGGTTACATTTCAGCAAGGAACATTTAGATTAGGCATGTATGGTAAACTTTAACCCAGAACGGTTACACATAAGCAATCCATTCCTGTGTGTTAAGTGTTATATTTGAGAAATGTTTATGTGCCTTGTTCTGAAATTATCCAGCCTTGGAGAAGAAGCCATTTAATAATCTACTGTAGCCTCATTTTCTAAGAAATCAGCCACAATGGAGCATCAGTTTTAATTTAAATTGTATGAAGTCTTCCTTTTAAAGTTAGTTGCAATTGAGATCTCAATAATCATTTGCTACATTTCTGGAGAGGAGAAATTTTCTTAAGTCTTCTCTGGATAGGTTAAAAGGTTACGAGTGAATATTTTTTATTTTGCAGCCCAAATGTGAGGGATATTTGGGCAGCAAAGGGAGAATACACTGACACCCTCCCTCTGCCACCAAAGGCAAAGAGTGGAATTAGTGCTCAAAAAAAGGGAACATCTGTGTGTTCTGTGTTTTTGGATATACGTTACAACTTTTTTAATGCCTTGATAGGATTTTGGGTGATCTAATGTTGCCCTCTAGTGGTAGGAAGATAGATAGGAAGATGGATTGCAGATAGCAGTACTAGGCGTCGGTTCTGTCTTGCTTGCACATTGCTCATTTATTGAGGCACAGGAATGCTATCCTAGAATTTAATCCCAGCCATGAGAAACACAAGAGCCTTGTGGAACTATGTGGAGGGCAAAGTTAATAATGACCGTATGGGCAGACGAGAAATTAAATGCTTCATCTTTTAAGTAAGTTTTAAGTATTCGTGTTTGCAGCGCTTTGCATAATTACTTTTCTGAATTCTGTCCAGCAGCCTTTCACATTTTTTGTGCAATATTAGCATCACAGATGAAGTAGCAGGAGATAGGGTGCTGTTGGTGAACATTATGGCAAGGACTGATATTTATATTTGTGTTCTAATCTTAATTCTGATGTTTATTATTTAGGATAGTAATGAAGATTATTCAAATAAAAATCATCATTTTGGGTGTGGCCCGGTTGTCTACAGCACATTTGGGCATCATCTCTTTTGACTAGTATTATTCTCTCTGAAAAGCACATGCTTTTCAAAAGGGGTTTATTGTTTTATGCCAGCAACATTTGTGCTGAGGGCATGCACTGATAAATTTCTGTTAGCTTCTTTTGTGGTAACGTTTTTATGATTGCTGGTTAGTCCTTTGATTTTGAATCTGTGTGATTAATTTATGATAGTCCATTAATCTTGTTTCTATTGTACATTTAACTTTTCAGTTATCTTACTGACCTGTATCATATTGCTATGCCTTCATTTGTACCAACTCAGCAAGATATTCTTAGAGTCCAAGTGCCAACTACAGGAATTATCCTTTTGATTTGGAAAATTTTAGATTTAGGTAATACTGTCTGTCAAATGATTCAGTATACAATTATTAAACTAGTTGCTGCAACTTTTTTCAAAGGTCTTTTAAGCTTTTGCATTCAATTAGAGTTTTATGTGTTTCCAGCCATTTTAGTCTCCAAAGTTAATACAGTAACTTAAAGTGATGTTTCAAAACATACCTTTTAAAATTTATATTACATGAGAAAAGCCTTTCAATTTGAGCAGCCCAATTACTGTGTATTCTGAACTATGAGTTTAATAAAAAAGCCTTGGTTTGGGAGGGGAGGCATGTCACAGTGGCAGGGTATCGGTCATATTGCTCATATCAGCATGCAGTTTAATTCCATTCAGAGCCGAAAGCTTCTGCCTCCTGACTGTAACTGTTGGAAAAAAGACCCCTAACAGATAGGCTAAAGTCTTCAAATGAGTTTACAATTTTCAGTTAGAGAAAGTTAGGAAAGGGAGTTTGAGACACTGAAGGCAGGAGGAGAGAAAAAAAAGCAGTGGAGAGTCATGACAGTAGATACTTCTGTTCTTACCACCATATAATATACCCCCAAGAAATTATGTTCAGTGGAATTGAGAGAAAGAAATGTATTCATAAAGTTGAAATAAATTCTGAGAAGCACCTTAAAATTATCTTATCTGTTACTAGACAAGCTATCACAACATGTGGGGTTACTGATTTTCTAAGGGAAAGCTTTTTTTTTTAATTTCAAAATTGCAGAATTCACATTAGTATGATTATGTAGTTCTTCCAGCAAACCACCCATTTCATTATGAGCAAACACCTGTCTGCATTTACAGCACAGAACCAGCATCCACCACAATAACACATGGTCAAAGCAGCCTAACTGTGATTTTGTTGGTTGTTTCTTCCTGGAAAATTGAATGGTCTAAGGAACATTTTGACCTGGATAAAATGTGAGGCACTTGCTTAACTGTCTGAAAAAAAAACACAGGAAATTGATGTGAATGAGGTATTTGTGAGCATTTTGATTTTTTTAATGGTGAGGTATGACTGCAATGGGGTATTCAGGGTGGCAAGGGGAGCACAGTAAGGGAGATTTTGGAGTGTCTGTGGAATTGAATATCACATCTACCTTTGCTAAAACTTGTAACAACAAAGAAGAAAACCCAGAATTATATTTTTTAATTGTGCCTCAAGTGGCTTACACACTTGTACTGGGCCTGGCTGGGATAAAATTTATTTTCTTCGTAGCATCTGCTATGGTGCTGTGTTTTAGGTGTATAACCAAAACAGTACTGATCACTTACCAGTGTTTCAGCTTTTGCTGAACAGTGTTTGCATGGCACCAAGGCCCTCAGGTCCTCAAGTGAATGCTCCTCAGTGAATAGGTTGGGCGCTGCACAAGGTGTTGGGAGGGGACACAGCCAGGCAGATGACCCAACCTAACGAAAAACATGTTTCACAACTTATAGTGTCAAACTCAGTGATAAAAGTGAAAATGGGGGGTTTAATGAGGTTATCCATCTTTTTCTTGACAACTGGTTGGGCATTGATCTACCCATAGCTCTTCTTCCACTTACCTTTCACTTATTAAGCTTTTTTTTTTTTTTTTTTAATCTCAGCTCTTTCTTCTTGCTTTTACCCCTTCTTTCCTTTCCCCATGTCCACCCACAATGTGGGTGGGGTAGTGAGTGAGCAGCTGTGTTGTGCGTAGCTACACACCACAATTAACCCACAACAACACTAAGGAACAGTGGAAGAAGCTGTAGCAGTACAACAAGTGAATCAAGTTTAACTATTAAACAGAATGTTAAGATAGAGTTTTTACAGTTCAAGCTTATCTCAGGTAGGTGACCTGCTATAAGACATTTGGACATACTTGAAGTCTCTTATGAAAATGAATAATGTGTTGACTATTTCTGTTTAACAGGATGGTGGATGTTGGTGGCCAAAGGTCAGAATGAAGGAAGTAGATCCATTGTTTTGAAAGTGTTACTTCCATAATATTCTTAGTTGCATTAAGTGAATATGATCAAGTGTGACAACGAGGTAAGGACTGGGAATATATAAGGTACAGAAGAAGATGTTTCCTTTTTAGGAAAGACAGTATTCATGTCTTTGTAAAAGCATTTGCAAATACTATAGTTACATTAAGAAGCTAATAAAGCAGTCCTGAAGTTGTACTAAATTAGCAGACTGCCTGTAAAAGTGAACCCTACCTTAAAAGGCAAAACATGATTTTAAAATGTCTTAAATCCCTTAAGCCATGCCAAATGTTTGAGAATTTTGAGTATCAGCAATATTTCTAAGCAAGTAAAACTACCCCACCCACCTGTAATTTGGGGTTTTGTTTTTGTTTGTCTCTGATGTTTCAGAATTAACCTGTGCATTTATTAAGGAAAATTAAAACAAAATAACTTAAAATTTACCTCCTTACCAAGGTTAGAAAACATAAGATTGGTTCTCCCATCTGTTCTAGAGTGCCATCATCATCATTAGAGAGTTGGAGAGCTAGTAAGGGCTT